TGAGTGAGTGAGTGAGTGAGTGAGTGAGTGAGTGAGTGAGTGAGTGAGTGAGTGAGTGAGTGGGTGAGTGAGTGAGTGAGTGAGTGAGTGTGGATGAGAATGAGTGTGAGTGAGTGTGAGCGCGAGTGCGAGTGTGAGTGGGAGAGTGAGTGTGAGTGCGGGAGTGTGAGGGAGTGTGAGGGAGTGTGAGTGTAAGTGCAAGTGGGAGGGGGAGAGTGGGAGAGTGAGAGAGTGAGCATCTGAGAGCACAAAGCACCGCGCCTGCCACGAAATGTGCACTTCAAGGTTTACCAAGCGCTGTGCCTGCCATGAAATCTGCTCCACAGCCACAAAGCAACGTTTTTTGTCCTTGATCTTTGATCTTCTATGCTTTTGTTGACAGCTTGCTCTCCCGTCTCCCGGCTCCCTTTGTTCATTCCGTCGAGTCAGAAGTGTCAAGGCGAGGTCCGTCACGTCGACGACGGCACGAGAGTCGATCGGGCAGGGTCCCGTTGTCCCAGCAGTAGTCAGGGGTAGGCCCAGAGTCCAGAGTCCCGTATCCCGGCTCCCTGTTTTCAGTTAGATAAAGGAAAGGTAGTGAAACGCGTGCTAGGCATGCTGCTGGAATCACGCCGCCGGTCCTCATGATCCTCCTACCTCGTGCTCGAACGCGTTGAACTTGTTGGTTAAGCTGTTACGCAGTTAAGCTCAAGCTAGATCTACATTCGCGGAAATTGCCCCTCGGGGACTCGGGGAAGCCAGGGGATCTTGGAGCGTTCTAGTGGGAGTGTTCGGCTGGTCACCACGTTCCGGGTTTGGAGCTAAACCCATGTTTTTCATGTATTTCTTCTTGCGCAGGTTCCGGGGGCCACCAAGTAACGTTGAAACGCTTGTGCAAAGGGGAGCCTACCCCCGTGAAAGTTAACAGATATATGTGTATAATATATATATATTGTGTTTTTTGGATTGGGCGGGCGCATGTGACGGTGGATCTTCCTGGAATGCCTTGCTGTACCGTGAGTATCGCGACTCGATTGAATTTGCTTGAGAATAACATTCTCAGACACGACTAATGGGACTGACATATATGCCGCCCCATTGACCCCCAGTCAACCACCCCTGGCCTGATCGGCAGTCCTATGGCAGTCCCAGACAGGTCGTGTCTGGAAAGCTGAAACGTCGATCACATTGAGCCTCTGTTTCACCATCACCACGACCATACTGCACCCGCCCCACCACCCAAATTTCCACCCGGTGCCTCTTAGGTGAGAATTGGGTGGCAAAATGTCCAAACTTCCCTAAACGAAGGGGAAAAAAAAAAGAAGCCGACTTGGCCTCTATTCAACAGATTCCATAGCAGTTCCCCTCTCATCCCTGAAACATCCCTGGCATCTCTCACTCTTCTGGTCCGCCCCCCCCAGCCACCTGTCACCTGCCCGGCGGAACGACCTCAGGGGACCGGGTGCGCGGTGAGAAGAGCTGGTCCAAGGACGGCGCCCGCGGGCCTCGGGCGTGGAAGCCGGGAGAAGCCGAGCGACGCCGAGCTCGGGGGTGGAGCCAGAGGTGGTGGTGGAGCCGGTGGGGAGCTGTGGTGGGTCTTCAGTAGCCAGGGCCACTGAGGAACAAGGCCCCTCTCTGAGTTTATGAGTGAGTGTGAGCTTTTAGATGCTTTTAAGTCGTCGGAAATCGCACCTGTTGACCTTCACCATGACCAACGTGCACATCTATCGTCTCCCTCGGTGGAACTCAGTGAAACAGCACGGTGCTTTTGATTTTCACGTCCGGCGAGCCAATGGGGTGAACCCGAGTTGATGCCTGGACGACGGATTAGATCGCCCAGACCCCTCAACTGCCATTGCGCTCAAGCAGTACCACGCGGGCAAGAATGCGCGCGCTCAGCCACGCGAGAACCGCGTCCCCTGCTTGTAAAGGGATTTTTGGCTGACTGAAACGTCTTCGGTAGGTTGGTGAAAATGGGTGAACACGCTGTTTCTTTTTGGAGAGTGTGTTGCACAGAAAGCAATGGCACACCAATTCACAGCGCCAGGATTCAAGAACCTGTGCATTCTAGAGCGGCTTTACAGCAACAATACCCGGCCTACCTTCACGTTTGTCTGGGTGCAACCCTGCCATCTTGATTTGGTTTGAACTGTAGTCGATCGCCATCAAGACATCAACATACGCAAATGTCAATCAGCTCAGTGCGGTATTGAAGTCGTCCAGTATTGATTGAAATCCTCAAGAATGGTCATACCCGATTCCTGTTGGAATGACCACGTGTGTCTGAATAGGTAACGATGCCTTCTCCAATTGTTTTCAGTTCGTTCAGTTGTTTCTCCCTCTGAGGTCTTTATCCCTAAGGACCCAGAAGGTAGATTGCACCAAGCAAATGGTGAGATCGCGTGTCGACACCGGTGTGGCCGGTGCCCTGAGGACATGCGTGCACGTGTTTTTCACCAGCCCGGCGGAACAATACAGTTGACAGGCAGATTGCTGAGGGAAGATGAATCAAGCACACAGCGGTGTGGAGACGATTATATACAACGCTCGCATGCTGCCAGCAACCCGCGAACCTACTCTTCAAAAAGGTAGGGTAGAAATCTGCAAGCTTTTTGCTGATTTCGTTTGGAGAGTGGATCAAGACGAGCTTTGCAAGAGATGCAGTCCAACTCCCAATGTTAATGTTTGGCGAACCTGAAACCAAAAAAAAATATGATATCACTCCTGATATCCACCTCACACTCACCTCAGCGGATAATTCTCGGTGGCTGAACCAAAACCGTGACATGGAAGCACAACAATATATATATATATACCACTATACCAGAAGTTCTATCCAAAGGGGCTATCAGATGGGACCTGGACAATGCATGACTTTCTATTAGTTTCTGCTGACTGACCTATGGCGAAACCAAGAGTCCTCGCTGAATGGCCACTGAAGGCCATGAGGAGCAACACCCATTTACAGCAGTTAGCGGGAGTAGATGGCGCAAGGGCCCCCACGGTTGGTGGTTTATAAGGACCCAAATATAAAAGACCTCTTTGGGTGCCAGTGCCATTGATTCTGAAACCACTCTAAACTTCAAAACCCTTCGCCAACCAGACGACCGCCCACCAAACTGAACTGCGGCGCTTGAAGTGCTTCAGCTCCACTCAAATTCACAAAGAAACAACATTACATCACTGGATAACTAATGTAGACTCTTGATGAATAAACCCTCCCATTTGAAATATGGGGGGGTTATTCATCAAGAGTCTACACTATAAGGCTGGCGGCTGGTCCCTCCTGCCACCCAAAGGGTGCGCCCAAGGGTACTACGGTACTAATTGCTGGCCACTCAGAATGAAAGTGCTCATCTTGAAAGAAGTATACATCATTTCATCAAACTGAAGCACTACGCCTCCCGTGTCCCGCCCCAAAAGAAGCTCAAACGACCATCTATCTCAACCAGTTCACCCGGAAAAAGACGCCACAAATTGCGAAGGTGTAATTAGGTCCAAGTTCCTGTCGATCGATCGCTCGCTGGTCCAAGTCTGTGATCCACCCCACTCACCGGTCATTTTCACATTTGTCACTTACTCATGCGCATGAGGAGACTCAAAGAGGAGGATCTCCACACAAGATGATCTCTGCAGTCAAAGGTTCCATTATGTTCCATTGCTTCCTGCTTGGTCTCAACCAATCGATGTCTTTTGACTACAGATGTCTGTTGATGTATATATAGCTCACTTGTTGTGTATCTTCTCAAGTTTGGGTCTCCAGCTGGATCTCCCCCTCTCAACCACACCTCTTCCATCTTTTTCTCCTTTGTGCTAGTCGACCCGTTTCCCACCCGATCGCGGCTCCGTTTTGCCCTTCTTGGCCGAGACGGGATCCGTGGATGTCAGGCGTTGATCATGGCCCTAGGCCCTAGGCCTGAGCCTCTGAAGCTCCCAGGCTGGCACTAATGGCCGTCACCGCTGCCAGGCGCGACACCTCCTGGGTTCGACCGTCCGACGTTGTTCAGTGTGGGGGTGAAGACTCCGCGGTCGGTCGAAACGGTGGAAACCCGGCCAGGTCGGTGAGGTGGTGAAAATCCCCATCATCCACGGTCTTCGCTGTTCTTCGGACCCCGATGTAATTCAGGTGAACTCGATGGACAAGTGAAGTGAACAGCTCCGTCTTCCGTGGCTCCTGCCGCAACAGCTGGCTCATGAGTTCCAGGCGAGGGCCATGCCCATCGCACTGCAGCAGCAGTTGCATGGAATCCGCGTTCCTCGGTGTTCACGATGAAACACCGGAGTGGACAGGACAGGACACTGACAGCCTTGATTTCACTGGCGCTTTTTCCAAAAGAAGGGTCGGGAGAGTCCACGGGCTCGCAGAACGATCCCTCTCCCCCTTCCTACCTGTGATCCGCCAGGCTGGATTGATATCATTCTTTGGCTTGGCGGTTTGTCCAGAAGAGTGCGGAGAAGGACCGACCCTCGTCCTTCCAAGGCTCTGTGCCCAATGATGCTGCACCTCAACCTGCGACGCGTTCCGTGTCAGCCCGCCCCAGCACAAGCGATTGGTCGCCGAAATCGCCGATCAATGCTCAGCGAATGATGGACCAACAAAGAACCGAAGCCAACCGAAGCTAGAATCTACTTACACTCCCTGGAACTAACATGGAAGTGGAGAATGGCCCCTCGGAAGACCATGAAATCCACTACAAACAGGTGGTTGTCACCTTCCATGTTAGTTCCAGGGAGAGTAAAGGTCCGCTTTCCATCACTTTTTCAGCCCACCGGGGTCCCATCCTAGTGTGGAAGCTGGGTTCATTCTCTTGGGGAAGCA